GGGACCTAACAGCCCGTATCAAAGGGCCCGGTACCCCATACTCCCAGAGTACCCCCCACAGGGCCCCCCCGAGGGACGCGTTCGAACGCCTTCTCAAAGTCCACAATGTACATGTAGACTGGTTGGGCAAACTCCCACGCACCCTCCAGGACCATGCTGAGAGTGTAGAGCTGGTCCAGTGTTCCACGGCCAGGACGAAAACCGCACTGCTCCTCCTGAATCCGAGGTTCGACTATCCGACGGACCCTCTTCTCCAGAACCCCCAAATAGACATTACCAGGGAGGCTTAAGAGCAAGATTCCCCTTTAGTTGGAACACACTCTATGATCCCCCTTTTTGAATAGGGGGACCACCACCCCGGTCTGCCAATCCAGGGGAACTTCCCCCGATGTCCACGCAATATTGCAGAGTCGCGTAAGCCAACACAACCCTACAACATCCAGAGCCTTAAGGAACTCTGGGCGAATCTCATCCACCCCTGGGTCCCAGCCACCGAGGAGCTTTTTAACCACCTCGGTGACCTCAGCACCAGAGATTGGAGAGCCCGACCCAGAGTCCCCAGGCTCCGCTCCCTCAGTGGAAGACGTGCCGGTGGGATTGAGGAGGTCTTCAAAGTATTCCGCCCACCGACCCACAACATCCCGAGTTGAGGTCAGCAGCACACCACTCCCACTATAAACAGTGTTGGTGGCGTACCGCTTTCCCCCCCTGAGACGCCGGATGGTGGACCAGAATCGTCTCGAAGCCGTGCGGAAGTCGTTCTCCATGGCCTCTCCGAACTCCTCCCATGCCCGAGTTTTTGCCTCAGCAACCACCCGAGCCGCATGTCGCTTGGACTGCCGGTACCCATCAGCTGCTTCCGGGGTCCCACAGGCCAAAAAGGCCCGATAGGACTCCTTCTTCAGCCTGACAGCATCCCTCACCGACGGTGTCCACCATCTGGTTCGAGGGTTGCCGTCGCGACAGGCACCGACAACCTTGCGGCCGCAGCTCTGGTAAGCCGCCTCGACAATAGAGGCACGAAACATGGTCCACTTAGACTCAATGTCCCCCACCTCCCTCGGAACATGTTCAAAGTTCTCCCGGAGGTGGGAGTTAAAACTCCGTCTCACAGGAGACTCTGCCAGACGTTCCCAGCAAATCCTCACAATACGTTTGGGTCTGCCAGGTCTGACCGGCATCCTCCCCCACCATCGGAGCCAACTCACCACCAGGTAGTGATCAGTTGACAGCTCCGCCCCTCTCTTCACCCGAGTGTCCAAGACATGTAGCCGCAGATCAGATGAGACGATGACAAAGTCGATCATCGAACTGCGGCCTAGGGTGTCCTGGTGCCAAGAGCACATATGGACACCCTTATGCTTGAACAAGGTGTTCGTTATTGACAATCAATGATGAGCACAGAAGTCCAACAACAGAACACCACTCTGGTTCAGATCAGGGGGGCCGTTCCTCCCAACCACACCCCTTCAAGTCTCACTGTCATTGCCCACATGAGCATTGAATTCCCCCAGCAGAACAAGGGAGTCCCCAGAAGGTGCACTTTCCAGTACCCCCTCCAAGGACTCCAGAAAGGGTGGATAATCTGAACTGCCATTTGGTGCATAAGCACAAACGACAGTCAGAACCCGTCCCCCCACACGTAGGCTGAGGGAGGTCACCCTCTCATTCACTGGGGTGAACCCCAATATAAAGGCACCAAGTTGGGGGGCAATAAGTACGCCCACGCCTGCTCGGCGCCTCTCACCAGGGGCAACTCCAGAGTGGAAGAGTGTCCAGCCCCTCTCAAGGAAACTGGTTCCAGAGCCCGAGCCATGCGTAGGGGTGTAATGAACATAATACCTGTCAGATATTATCCATAATTTAAACGGATTCTTTCATTTTTCTGGACTGGGTACTCTCGTGCCTTGAATGATTAAATGTGGACGGAAACGTGTTTTAATTTCTGACTCACCAACAACAGTGGGTCGTTTATTTAAAAACGATTTAAACACATCACACATTTACAATAATTGGCAGATTGATTACAATAACACAGCTTAATTAATGAGCTTTACAATGAGAAAATCATACGGCCATGATTTCCTCACCTGCAGCTTTTGAAACCAACAGACATTTCTGAAAATATCTGGATTAATTACTGGCAGATAGAAGAGTTTTAAGATGGGAAATGAAGGAGTTTAAATGGAGAGGAAATGGATGTGTGAGGGAAAATGTGTTGACGAAGAATGACACCCTCCATTCGAACCCAGCTCTACCTCGGGACACTTCGGTAGTGGAAATCGACTCTTTACCTGGCAGAAGATATCTCAGCGTCGGTGTAGAGTTCTCTTTCAACGTTACCATTTCAGCGTCTCCGTAGGATAGCAGAGAACCGTCCGGAGTAGTGACGGTACTTCGTTCAACAGCCCGCTCACCTCACGGGTGGACTCACATGAGCTGTGAG